TACATGAGCTAGTTCCAGGACAGGCTCCAAAACCACAGAGAAACCCTGTCTCAAAACAAACAAACAAACAAACAAACAAACAAACAAACAAAAAAAAAACAAAAAACAAAAAAAGGAACGAGCTCCTACCAAGGAGACAATGTAAATTCCATTCCCAGGTTGATGGAGGTTGGGTGGTGTGGGGCAGGGGCTGCAGTTCATGATAGGTGGTGGGAAAAGCATGTGTGCCATGCAAGGAATTTACAAGAAATTTCAAGACACCACCTTCCTACCTTGCCAAGAGCAAGGGTCTTTCATAAAGAATGAAGGAATTCTGCTACTGAGAATCTACTTAAAAGAAGTGCAGGGTGATGGTCAGATTGATCTTTGTGCCGCATCTCGAAGGTGGGACAGCCCATGCGGCAGCCAACGGATGAGCAGAGAGACGCGTGACCAAACTGGAAACCTTCCTGAGTGACAGCAGACATGTAGGGCTCCACAGTGTGACCTCACTGACCTGAAGCATCCAGACCAGGCTACTGCACGCAGATGGTAGCAGAACAATGGCTTCCAGGGCTTGGGGAAGCATGTGGGGATGAAGGACATGGTAGGATTCGGGGTCACACAATATCGCCAGTGTTTGGAATGCTCATTTCAAAGCCCTCCGTGAGCCTGGGGAGACTACTTGGTGAATAAGTGCTTCGGCAGCAGTGTCTCTAATCCCAATGCTCTTGCAGCCAGGAGAGAGAATCAGCAGGGCAGTCAGAGTGACCAAGAAACCCTGCCTTGAATGGGGTGGAAGGCAAGGCCACACCTGAGGGTGTTCTCCTGTATCCAAAGGTGTGCAACGTTCTTACATGGCCCCCTAGATCAGCAGTTCTCAAATGGGAGTCACAACCCCCTTGACAAACCTCTGTCTCCAAAAATATCTACAGTATGATTCATAACAGTAGTAAAATTATGGTTATGAAGTAGCAATGGAATAATTGTATGGTTTGGGAGCACTACAACACAAAAAAAAACCTGTATTAAAGGGCCACAGTATTAAGAAGATTGAGAACCACTGCCTCAAATTATTAAAAATAAATTATCAGCTACCTGGTACCTGAATTTCACCTCTATGTAAACACAGTTGTGCTCAGCAGTGGCGGTTCATGTCTTTAATTCCAGTGCTCAGGAGGCAGAGGAAATCCAATCTCTGAGTTTGCAGGGAGATTCATCTACAAAGTGAGTTCCAGGACAGCCAGGGAAACCCTGCCTTGAAAAAAATCAAAAGCCAGGGGCTGGAGAGATGGCTCAGTGGTTAAGAGCATTGCCTGCTCTTCCAGAGTCCTGAGTTCAATTCCCAGCAGCCACATGGTGGCTTACAACCATCTGTAATGAGGTCTGGTGCCCTCTTCTGGGTGTACACACAGACAGAATATTGTATACATAATAAATAAAAAATATTAAAAATATATTTTAAAAAAATCAAAAGTCAACACAAAACAAAAATGTAGGTCAGACATGGTACTTCACGCACCCTGTCTCAAACAAACCAGCCAGGGCTGGGCTGGGCTTCGCTTGGCAGAGCATCTGCCTGTCCGTCATAAAGCCTGGGGTTCATGTCCAAACACTGGGTAAACGGGGTGTGGTGGCACAGGCCTACATCTTCAGCACCCACATCTTCAGGAGGTGAAAGCAGGATTCTGAGTTTGAGGTCATTCTTGGCTACATCAAAAATTTGAGGCCAACTAGTTAGCTACATGAGACCCAGCACCCACAGGATGGCTCATAACCACTCATAGGTTTGCACATGCAGACAAAACATTCGAAACAAGAACACCCAACCCAGCCTGCCTTGCCTCCTTTTCTGTGGATAGCTATTTCTAACACACGTGTGCCCCCTAGTGGTCATAATTGGAAGTGTCCCATGAACAGTGCACATCCCAAGGATAGAGATAGCTTTTCTCCCCAAGAACAGAGCAGTGACAACCAGGTTTTAGGGACAGAGGCAACTGTGGAACCAGGGACAGCTGTGTGTCTGTGCGCAACAAGTTGGAGGGACAAAAAATGTTGGTCATGGTTTCTCTCATGCATGTCAAGACGTAGCTAACATCAGAACAGGCTGTGTTGGGGTGGAGGAAGATGGGCAGGGCAGGGTTGCTGCGGGGACAGAGGGGGCCAGCAGGGTAGGGAGTGGGGGTTTTCTCTGAGGGCACTGAGGAGCCATGGTAGGCTTTTGAACAGGGGAGAGGAGAGAGATGACCACAATTAGTCCTATGTCATTTTGTGTCTCGGGTCTCATGTGCATGCTGAGTGACCTATTTCCCCCCGGGGTCCTGCAGCTGCAGCCCTGAGCCCTGTGCAGGCTGGGTGGAGTCCACCCCAGGGCTGCCCCATTTGAGTTCACTGAGGAATGTGGTTCAACCTTTGGGGACACCTAAGTGTGTAACTGGGGCCGGGGCTTTCCCCTAGGCAGGCTGGAAATGTCACTCAGCTATCCCACATCTTTGAAAAGCCCATCTGTCTGTCTGTCTGTCTGAGTTTTGAAGGTCATGCATATTTTTTTTCTCTGGCCCGCCTTTTGTTGTTTTTCTCCCTGTGTTGCCGAAGCATGGCTGCAGAGACCTGCAGAGACGAGCGAACAGATGAATGCGGTTTCCTCCTCCTCCTCCTCCCCTCCTCCTCCCCTCCTCCTCCTCCTCCTCCTCCTCCTCCTCCTCCTCCTCCTCCTCCTCCTCCTCCTCCGAGACAGGGCTTCTCTGTGCAGCCTTGGATGCCCTGGAACTCGCTCCGTACACCAGGCTGGCCTCGAACTCACAGAGATCCACCTGCCTTTGCCTCCCGAGTGCTGGGATTAAAGGCGTGCGCCACCACTGCCCAGCTGTAGTAACTATTTTTTAAAAGAACCAAGAAGATGGATACAGGGTAAAGGTGTTACTTAGCCTGACGACCTGAATTCAAGTCCAAGATATACATGGTGGAGGAGAGACTGACTCCTGAAACTTGTCCTACACACCAAATAAATGAATGAAAAGACCGACTCCAAACCAGAAAGTGAGCCAGGTGCTAGGGCTCGCCTTTAATCCCAGCACTCGGGTGGCAGAGGCAGCAGAGGCAGGTGGTTCTATGCATTACAGACTAGCTTGGTTACAGAGTGAAACCATCTCAACTAAGCAATGCGACCTGTCCCCCCGGTGGTTGATGAATGTCCACTCACAAGTGAACAAGCCAGTCCAGACCAGGCCACATTTCATTGTGCGTGTGACCGTGCGCTGTAGGCAGGACACAAGCAAGCCCCCAGAGGCTTGCACCTTTAAGGCCAGCACCAGGGAGGCAGAAGCAGGATAGCTCAGTGAGATCCAGTCCAGCCTAGTCTACATAGTGAGTTCTGGGACAGCTAGGGCTATGGAAAGAGAACCTGTCTCACAACAACCAAAACCAACAACAGCAAAAAGCATAGAAGTATTCCTTCACAGTTCTAGAGGCTGCCATGTTTTCCAGCACCTTCTGTATCATCTCAGGACAGGACTAACAATATGAGGCAAACGCCCTCCATCGGGAACATTGTTTTCTTTGCAGTGTGGGGACAGAGTCCAGAGCCTTATGTGTTCCAGATGCCAACTTTTTTTTTTTTTTTTTAAATTTACTTTTATGTGGCTGGGGAGCTGGCTCGGTAGTGCGGAGCCCATGCTGTTCTCGCAGTGGACCTGAGTTTGGTCCCCAGCACCTGTGGTGGCCCACAGTCCCTGTCACTCCAGTTTCTTCACCCATCTACTTAATTTTATGGCGATGGGGTTTTACCTGCATGTATGGGTGCGCCAAGCGCATGCAGTGCCCCCGAAGGCCAGAAGAGGATACAGACAGTTGTAAGCCTCCCTGTGGGTGCTAGGGTGGAACTCAGAGACAGTCACCTTTCCAGCCCCTTTACCCACTTCTTGTTATTTGCTGAGACAGGGTATTATGATTCTCCTGCCTCAAACTCCAAAGTACTGGAGTCACAGGCAGGGGCCACCATACCTGCCTTGGTTCCTTTTATTCTGAGCATGTATATTAGCTCACATGGAGGTCAGAGGGCAGCTGTCTCTATCTTGCAAGTGAGCCCTGAGGGTTGAGCTCAGGTCCTCAGACTTGGCAGCCATTTTCCTTGCTGCACCATCTTGCTGGTTGGTGTTGGCACTCACATTAGCTGGCAGACTGTAGACCAGCTTTCCTCCTCTGTCTCCTGGCGTCTGTGTTCTGAGACATCGGTGCTCAGCCGTGCTCCCTGCTTGGGGCTGAGCTTGGGCATCTCTGTGCCCTGTCATGGCCCAGCCTGCGCCTCTGCCTTTCAGGTGCCATTTCTTCTTGTTGGTGTGCAAGTATGGAAGCCAGAATCCTGCACATCTCTGTCCCTCCCGTGCGCAGGTCAACGGGGGGTGGATTTTGGGTGGCTGGACTAAAACAGGATGCACAGAGCCATAGCCTGCAGTGCTGCAGACTGTGGAGGGTGGCAGGGTGGCGGACACAGTCCGAACTGGGCAGCCTTCAGGGCCACCGGTGGGTGAGGAAGGGTGAGGCCTCCAGGGTGCCGACAGGTTCTGCTCTAGGACCCGAGCTGGGAGCTGACCTTGCTGCACTAGGAAGGTTGTTCTTGGCCATGGGGGGTGAGATGCACGTGACACATCCCAAGTAGGAGTGGGGTGCCAAGAGAGGCAGAGCCCAGAGTGAGAGGGTGCTGAAAGGGCAGAGTCCATGGACAGACCATGGAGACACAACTGCCAGGCCCATCAGAACTCGGGCACCAGTCTGGGGGCTGAGCCCAAGCCTGGACAAGTGAGAACATGGAAGCCTCCAATTTCAGACCACCCGAGGAAGGCTACCATCCACAGGAGACAACAGGCTAGACCCAGTGAGGATAATCTACCCTGTGTCCCTCAGAAGAGCTCCAGCTACTAGGAGAGGGTCGGCTTCCCCTCACTGCTAGGTCTACTTGGCCACAACCCAGGGTGTCCAAGTGGGCCTGAACCACAGCACAGAGAGAAAGGACAGACAGCAAGTGTAACAAATGGACTTTAATGCAATTGTCACACGGGGTAGAGGGCAAAGTGGCCCTGTATAGTGACAGTAGCCTGTGCCTGCCCAGGGACCCTCGGGGGCGAAGGCTGAGAGGCCATGTCCCCTCTCGGGGAAACACTGCTGTGGCCTGGGGCTGGCATGGGAAGCACAGCCAGCCAGGCGACACTCCTGGACATGGAGCAGTGTCAGAGGGACAGCCGCCCTCACTGAGTGCTGCGTGGTGACTGCACAGGACACGTGTGACAGGACACGTGTGACAGGACACGTGTGACAGGACACGTGTGACAGGACACGTGTGACAGGACACGTGTGACAAATGACAGTGATCAACATGCTCAACAAAATGGCAGCGAAAGGAGACCCTGGTGGTGGGCGAGGATGGCATCCACAGGGTGGCGAGTGGCCAGGCATGTGGCACCAGGAGCCAAGGCTCAAGCTGGCTTGTCTCTGGGGAGGGCTGGCAGGCCCTTCCTTCCCACCCCAGAACAGAATGGGATCAGGGAAGAGGTTCTGCGTGGGTTCACGCAGGATTGAGGAGGGTTGCTGCTTATGTCCAGAGCCACCCTCCAGCTTCAGTTTTGGTGCGTGTGGCAGATGCGTCCTGAGGCCGGGTGGGCTGGGGTGGTTGCAGAGGCCCCTCACTGGGTCCGGAGCTGGTAATCTAGAAACATGGGCACCCACCCTCAGCTCCACATGGGGACACGGGACACCCACCCTCCACACAGGAAGCCCCAGCCCAGAGAGACCTCACAGGTCAGGCAGCCGCTCACCTCCGTTCTGTGTGATGTAGCGCACCCAGGGCAGCGCCTGGTAGCCGCTCTTCTCAATGATCTTCAGGTAGCGCACCTGCACACAAAGGCTCTGAGTGTGCCGCATCCCTGCTATCGCCCCTCATCCAAGGGGCAAGGCCAAGGGGTAGGCCAGGCACAGCAGGAGGGGTTGTCAGAAGTGGTCAGGTCCCAGTTTTTCAGGGGACCAGGATGTACCCCTCACCCATACACCTTCTGAGAGGCTCCAAGGAAATAGACCCCAGGCCAGGATTGGGGTTCGGGGTTCCTGCTGTGACTCTGGGCTTAAGTGTTCCAGGCAGTGCCCTGGCACTCATACCTGGATGCCAGAGGTAGTGAAGTAGGGGATCTCGAACTTGACACTGATGGGAGGTTTGCCCTCCTTGTCTTCGGCCTCTACACTGGGAAGACCAAAGTGGGCCCGCATGAGGTACTCCTTGCCACCCTGGGTAGACAACATAAGGGGCTGTTAGGCAGCTGCCCAGCGGTGCGGCCCACAACCAATGTGCTGTCTCCCAGGCTTGTCCATGACTCCCAGGAGCCGAAACTGGGCAGGCTGTGCAGGGCTCCACCGGCTCCCAGGGAGAGACAGGCCAGACTGGCCATGGTGGGAAAGGAAGCCTGGGAGAACACTGAGGGTGGTGTGTTCCACAGCACAGCCCGCCTTCTCAGTCTCTGGACATGTAAGAAATGAAAAGAGGCCCAGGCAGAATGAGAGTGCTGGGCTCAGGTTCCCGGGAACCCAGCAATAACTTGGAGGTGATTTGAGATTGGTCAGGCAGGACTGGCTGGGGCCTTTGCCCTACCCTGGCCAGGTAGAGCATCAGGTCTGGGCCTGGCTGTCCCCTGTGCCTGGCACCCTGGCTCTCGCTCTGCTCTATCTTGGACAATGTGGCCTTTGGTCTCCTGAGCTCAGGCTGAGGGGCAGAGGAGTGGCCGTAAATATAGCTCTGCCTAGGAGTTGGGGTGCACTAGGGCTGAGCCTTGGCTCCTGCACAGGTTCTCCGCATCAGCTCCCAGCCATAAAGGACACCATGGAATCTCCATGGGAATTGGTGAAAATAACATTCCAGCTCCTGGACCCAAAAGCAAAGGGAGGAGAATGTGGAAAGAGAAGATCTACCCATAGGAAAACTCAGGCAAACTGAGTTAAGCTGAGTCTCATAACCTGGCATTCAGGAGACAGAAGCAGGAGAATGGAGGCAAGTTCAAGGTCAGCTTGGGATTCATGGTGAATTTGAGGTCAGCCTGAATGACATGGTAATTTTGGGGCCAACCTACAATCCATGATGAATTTCAGGCCGCCTGGGCTACATAGTTAGGAGGTCAGTTTGGGCTACATGGTGAGTGGCAGACCACTGAGACTACCAGGGGAGACCCTGTTTCAAACAAAGTTGCCACAACTTCCACGTGAAAACAGAATTTGTGGCAAATGACATCACATTACAGGTGCTTTTGCGGTGGCTGTCTTGGGGCACCAAGAAATCTCTCTTGGGGTGGATCTGCAGCCTGCCCTTCCCAGCCCTGGAACAGGATGTCTCTCCCCAGGGCTGCCTCTTGTTCCCAAGAATGCAGTTCCAGAGGTGGGACATGGATGGGTATGGGGGACTGCTTTTTAATGTGCACTGGTTTGCCTCATGTGTCTGTGAGGTGTCAGATCTTGGAGTTACGGACAGGTGTTAGCTGTGTGGCACCGCAGCAGGAGCTGAGAGCTGCACCCTGATCCACAGGCCAAGAGAGCAAGACTGGGCTTTTATTTTTTTTTTTAATGTGCATGGGTGTCAGGTTGCTGGAACTGGAATTATAGACAATTGTGAGCTGCCATGTGGGTGCTGGGAATTGAATCTGGGTCCTCTGGAAGAGTAGTTGGTGATCTTAACCACTGAATCATCTCTCCAGCCCCATGGGGGAGGTGTTTAGGGGCATGTGTGAATATGGGGCTCACCGGAAAGGACTTGATGGACCACACGATCTCGCTGTTCTCGGGGACCCACTTGACACTCCCTACTGTAGTCTTGAACTTGGGCGAATCAGCATCGTTGGGGACCGGTATGTGGATCTCTACATTGTTGGCTGTTGACCGCCGCTTGAATTGGCTCTTGGCCTGCAAGGAGGCCCCGGGCAGAGGCTCTGTAGGATGCAGGGGAGGGAGTCTAGCCACCCCCACCCCAGCCACCTACCAGGGCTACACAGTCCCTACTTGTCAATGAGTCCCCACTTTCTACCACCAGGCTTTTCCAGCCAGTGCCCACACCTGACTCTCCCTCCTGTCTCAGGCCTCCGAGGTGCCCGCCCCCCTAGGACAAGGTAAGTATCTGCAGTATGAGCCTGTCCCTTGCCCTGCTGCTGAGCCGGTCCCAGGTAACAGGGTGCCTGCTCTCCCACCGACCTTGACCATGTACTCGATGCGGCTGTGGGAATGCTTCTCAATCACAGACTCAATCCAGATCAAAGGCTTCACCTGTGGGGAAGGTGGAAGGAAGGCACTCACATCAAGTCTCACTTTACTGAGGAGAAACTAAAGCCTGTTCTTCCCGGCCAGTGTGCAGGCAAGAGGTAGGCAGTCTCCCTGGACTGCCCCACAGTCTACCCAAGGAAGTCCAGCAATGGGCAAGGCTTCTGCTCACCTACAGGGCTGGAGGGTGGCACAGCAGGTGAGTGAGAGCTGATACTGAGCTTCCCTGGGAACCTGCTACCCTGGGAGGCACTCACGTGGGTATTGAGGCGGTAGGACATGAGTTCAAACTCTCCATCGGGAGGGATGAAGGAGATGGTGCGGTCGTTCTCAAAGCGTGACAACCGCACGCACTGGTGGAACTTCACATCCTCCAGCTCCACCGACTTGCTCTTCCCTCCTGTGTGGAGCAGGGGTGAGGTTGGCATGCGGCTTCGAGTCCCTGTGCAGAGTTCCTACTGCCAAGACCACCTTGGCAGACCAGAGCCTACCCCATATCCAGAAGACATCTCTTTCATATGCACAAGGGGCCAGTTCCTAGACAACTGTCATCCTCCTGCCTCCACATCTCAGCCTAACACTGGCATGGAGTCCTGGGGTCTGGGCTCCCTGTGCCGTGTTAAGTCTTCAGCAGCTGGTAGACAGCAGCTGGTCAGGACACATTTGCTAAGTGGGTATGGGTGACACCATGGTGTCCCACCCACATAGAGCTAGCAAGTCCAGGAGGCCAGCAGGGGCCAGGAACCTGAAACTAGGGCCTCCGTGGTATGGCCAATGAGAAGCCACAGAAGCCCAGGCACGCCCACCTGTGCTGTGCTCTGCCATTGGAAGCCTCACCATAGAAAGCACCTTGGTGTGTGACCTCCCAACAGCACAGGCCTCTGTTTGTGGGATAGGCTGGGCCTCACTGATGATGTCTAAGTGTTCAGAACCTTGGCTCTCTGTCACCCTCCTGACAGCTTCACAGTGTACTCCACGATGGCCTTCCACCTCAGTGTCCCGAAGAATAGGATGACAGGCAGGAGCCTCCACTTCAGCCTGGATCTTTCTGTGATTTTGGTGCTGGTAGATACTGAACCCAGGTCTGCTTGGTCAGTGTCGACCGATCTGCAGCCCTAGCCTTTGAGGCCTTTTGAGCAGTGTGAAGTTGTTACATCTTATTTCCTGTATACGGGAGGGTGTGTGCTTCAGTGTGCACGTGGAAGTGAGAAGGCAACTTGCAGGAAGTGCTTCCCTTCCACCGTGGGCTCACGAGATCACATCAAGCTCGTGGGGCTTGGCAGCAAGCATCTTTGCCTGCTGAGCCACCTCAATGACCCAAGGCATTTTCTTAGGCCTGTCACCTGAAAGCAGTTAGCTGTGGCACTGGGGTCAGGGGAAGCCACCTCCCTGAGGCAAGAATGATCCAGCCTCTGCACTGTTCTGGTACTCACGGCCTGTGTTGTCGAAGAGGACCTTGTCGTTGAGGCCCAGGCGCAGCTCAGGCATGCCTGAGAGGAAGACGCGCATCTTGATGGAGCCCACAATCTCACTGCGCAGCACATTGCCATTGGCACTGACCTGAGGACAGTGGGAACCGTGTAAGGAGTGACCTCCACCACTTCTGGCTCAACTGCAAACCTGACTTTCTCCCTAGTGTTTGTCCCAAGGATAAGCAGATGAGCCAGATGCAGGTGAGAGGGTCCCAAGCCTGGAGGGCTGGTGATGTTCCACTTCCAGAGGCGGTCACTCATCTGAGCAGATGGAAACCCAAGCCCAGTTTTACATGCACACAAACTGGACTACAGTGTCTGGTGATGTCACCATGACAGTACTACAGAGAGCCTACTTGAACCTAGACTGGCCGGGGGCCACCAGCAGACACTGCCCCAAATGATACAGCAAACACGGCTGCTATTTTGCTGGCTGTTTTCTAAATTTGCAGCCCCATGTTGAAAGGGTGGCACAGCAAACAGGGTGCAGAGCACAATGGCACAACCCAGAGCACCCTCGGCACGTGTACGTCAGCATTCGCGGCACTGGGTAAGGATGGGAAAGCCTTAGGGACTTCCCAGGTCCTTGTGGTCCTCAAGGGAGCACCATTTTGAGTGTGATCCATCATTTGCCCAAATACCATGTGACACACAGCTCGAGGTGCCTTGCAGAAGCCACTCAGATAACCACACCACGAGACAAGGGCAGAAAGAAGCAGAAGGAAGAAACAACAGAACCCTGAAATGTCACCATGACCCACAGGGAGAGGAGGAAGGAGACGGAGAACAGGAAGCAGAAAAGAAGGCAAAACAGAAGCCCAGAAACTCAGTGAGTACAGATGATCTAAACACATCAATCAGAAGACAGAGACTGGGGCTGGGAAGGTGGCTCAGAAGTAAAGTGCTTGCCATGCAAGCATGAGGACCCGAGTTCAAGTCTCCAGAGCCTCCTAAAGCTGATGTTTATTCTAAGCACCTGCAATGGAGGTGGGGACAGAATTCCCTGGGCCTCCAAGCCTGGTGTAACACATCAACAAACAAGCAAAGAAGAAAAGGACCATCTCAAACAAGGTGGAAGGCTCAGAATGACACCCAAGACTGTCCTCTGAGCTCCACTGTGGCACTCACATGCCTGCATTCAATCACACAAATGTGCCCAAATAATGTCTACCAGAACTCACTCTGAGTAAGATGTAGGCAGATTCAAAGTAGAGGATAAGCTGTGGAGGTCTGATGAGGAACACCCTCCTCAGCTTCAGGCATTTGAACACATTCCCCAGTTGGTGCAGTTTGGGAGGCTTAGGAGGTGTGGCCTTGCTGGAGAGTGGCCGTCACCGGGGATGGGCTTTCAGGTTTCCAACCCTGTTCCCTTTGTTTCATGCTTACAGTTGGAGCTGTCAGCTTCCAGCTCCAGATGTCTTGTCTACCACCTGTTGCCATGCTGTCCCTGCCTCTGGAAACCATAAGCCCAATGAACCCTCTCCTTAAAAAGGGACCCTGGTCACAGTGTTTTACCACAGCAAGAGAAAAGCAACTAATACATAGGGGAAGCGTAAGAGATAGGTGTGGGGTGCACTTGGGAGGCTGAGGCAGGTGGATATCTGTGTGTTCAAGGACAGTGATGCTACCTTTCTTTGTGGTGCAGACTCACTGCACACCTAGTGCCAGAGGCTCCAAGCCCAGGCTTTCCCTCCACTGATGCCTCACCATCTGCTGAGATCACTCACAGGAGAAAAGACTGTCAGCATCAGTATTTATCAGCAGGTTCAATTCTTTTGCTTTGAATAAAGAAGCAGAGCCATCTCATTTATTCCAGAGATTTCCATGAGTTCCAGCCTAACCAGGGCTAAATAGAGAGGCCTTGTATTAATTAGAACGAAACAAAATCAAGGCCAGGTAGGGAGGTGTACAGCTTTAACCCCAGTGCTCTGCCCAGGCCAGCCAGGACTACACAGTGAGGCCCTCTTACAAAATACAGACTACAATAAACACAAACCAAAGGAGACAGGTTGTAAGAGCATACGCTATGCAAACACTAATAAAAATTACAAGTGTATGGAACACACATGTCATCCCAGCACCTGGGAGGTGGACTTTCAGCTCTTGGTTCCCAGCACTCATGTCAGGTGGCTCACAACTGCCTGTAACTGCAACTTCAGTGGAGTCTACTCCCTTACTGGCCTCTGTAGGCATCTGCACTTTCATGTATACACCCTCCCACATGCATACACACACACACACACACACACACACACATACACACACCCCAAATGCACACACAAACACAACAAACATACAAACACTCCGAATATACACACAAATATATACACACTCCACTACACATATATACACACACCCTACATGCATATACACACACATACATACACAAGTACACCCTGCATGTGTGCACATATAAATACACATATATACATACACACAACCCACACACATATAACATATATATTACATACACCCCACATGTATACAAATACACACATACATCTCAATGCATATACACACAAATATACATATACACACCTCACATGCATACACATACAAATATGCACATACAAATACATATGCACACACAAATAGATATACATACACACGCCCCACATGTGTACACGTACAAATACAGACACACATATACATACATACACACATTCCATATGCATATACACAAATACACCACAAATACACACATACACACACCCCATATGCAAACACATACAAATATACACCTCGCATATGTACGAACATATAAATGCACACATATACACATTCACACATAATGAATTTTTTTTGCCTGATGTAACTATTGATTGGTAACCTGACAGGCTCTAGAGTCACCCAGGAGACAGGCCTCGGGGCAGAGGCAGGTCCGGGAGTTAACTGAGGAAGGAAGACCCACCCAGAATGTGAGGGCCCCATCTCATAGGCTGGGGGTCTGGGGAAGTGAAAAGGATTCGGAAGCCAGGGGAACTGCACCCTTCACTACTCTGCTTCCTGACTGTGGACTACAAGACAGCTGCCCACATTCCTGCCACCATGACTTCCCAATCATGACGGGCTGTGATATAGAATGAACCCTTCCTCCCTTAGGTTGTACTTGTTAGCTCTTTTGTGACAGCTACACAAGTAACTAACACCCCCTGTGTGCAGAGGTCCTGGGGTACACACCCAGTACCACAAAAACCAAACACCATGCAAGGAACATAAGAAGCCTAAGGTTCAAACCACCCATGAGCTCGGCATTCTAGAAAATTAGCAGTCTTGCAGTATGGTTTTTAGAAGTGGCAATAAAAGTCCAGGGTCTCTTGGTAACAGAGCTTTCCAACTTTATACATGCTTTATGTGTTTGGTCTGGTTACATGTGTGCATATGCCTGTGTGTGAGCATGTGGAGGCCAGAGTTTCACATCAGCTATCTTGGCCTATGGTTGCCCATCCTTTGTTTGAGGCAGGGTCTCACACTGAGCTGAAGCTCAGTGCTGGGTTACAGTGCACAGCACCACACCCAGCTTCCACTCATGTGCTGGAATCTGATCTTGGGTCCTCATGCTTGTATATAAGCGCTCTGCTGCTGTACCTATGTTTTACTTTAAAATGTTATTTTTACTGTGCAGGAGTGTGTATGCTATGTGTTGGGTGGAGATCAGAAGACGACTTTTGGGTCTTCTCTCCTTTCTGAGGCCTCTGGGGGTGGAGCTCAGGTCAGCAGGGTTCAGCAGCAGCTTGGCTCACTGAGCCATCTCCCCAGCCCTATTTCTTTAAGTTGTCATTATTTATATTACTACTGTGTGTGTACACGCACACGTGTATGCATGAGTGCACATGTGTGAGCTCAGAGGACAACTTGCAGGAGTTAGCTCTCTTTTCCTACCGCAGGTCCCAGGATGGAACCCAGATGGCCGGAGGCCCTTCACCTGCTGAGTCATCTCGGTGGCGCTTCTATTTTTGTTTTCCTGGGACAGTTGTGACCCTGGAAGGTCAGGAACTTGAGGCCCCTCTACCTCAGTCTCTAGAGAACCACCACAATGTTGTCCCTACAGATTCTAAGTGAGAGGGAGGCTAGGACAGAGGGAGGAGGGTCTCTCCAGTAGTCGAGGAAGCCCTGGCATCTACTGCCAAGGCCCCAACTGCTCTGCTGGTTTTCAGTGTTATCCCTCTGACTTCCATCCTGGAAAAGACGGCAAGTTAGGAAAAGAAGAGAGAAGGCAGCCTACCAAGAGGTTAACGGCTTCAATGACGTCCAGGAACACTTCGTTCTTCCGGTACTTGATGCCCTCTGAGCGCCAGGACACAGCATTGGTGACGGTGGCTGGGGGCCGAGGGGCTCCCGTTTCCAGCTTGTGTCCTTCCTGAGTGATGTACCTATGGGCCACCCCTCAGTTACAGAGATGACATGCAATGTTGGGCCTTGTCTCTGGGCTGGGGCTAAGCAGCAGGTAGGCCCAACCACTGGAAGCCCTGCGGCAGCGGGCTCTAGGAGGGCGGCCTCTGCTTGGCACAGTGTGCAGTTAGTGTGAGCAGGCTGCATATACTTAGTTTCAGAGGCAGGGTGCTGGTTCTGGGTGGGGAACAGGGAATCAAGTGGTCAGCACTATGGGTACTTGGAACTGACTGAGCCCTGGGCCGTCCAGTGACCCCCATCCCACCAGAACAGCAAGGGCAGCTTTCCCTGGACTCCTGTCGGGACCTGGCATCCCAGGCTGCATAGAAGGGCTGAAGTGTAGCACGGGTCCTGCTGGTCTCTGCCTGTGCAGGCAGGGTTGCCCAGTAAACAGGACACACAGCCTTTTCCTGTCTGCCCAGCAAGAGGCAGGAGGATCAGGACCATCTTAAAATAACTAAAAAGAGCAGGGACGAAAAGAGCAACCTGCCTGCCCTGATGGGCTGGTAACTGAGGCACTGGGGCACATGCACTCACTCCTGCAAGATCTTGCTGTCTGTGGTCTGTGGGTAGCCAAAGTCCATGAGCTCGTCCAGTAGCTCGTAGATGATGACGAAGTTGTCTCGGATGCTCTCCTCCTCCAGCTCCTTAAAGTACTCAGAGAAGACCTGGGCAGGGCACAGCAGAACAGGCCTTAGCCAGCCCTAGGGCCATTCTGGCCCTCCCCCATTGGTGATGCCTCTGTGGGTGATGGTACAGGCCCTGAACATGGACCACAGGCACTGACCAGGAGGAATGGCCCTGTATCAGCAATGCAGCTGCCTGAGGCCTCTGCAGTCAAACCCAACTGTGCCTGTCACCCGTCTCTGACTCAAGGCTGCTGCCCACCTCTCTAAGGTGTTGGCTGTCTGGCTGTAAACAAGTATCTATATGTTCAGTGGGTAAGGAGGGGACCCAGAGGGTTACCAGGAGGCCTGTCTTCATACCAACACTGGAGCAAGCCCGTCATTAGAACAAGTGGGAAAGGCCAGCCCTGGAGAAACATGCCACATCCCTGCTCACCCCAACGACCTAGTCATAGCCCACTTGCCAGAGGTGGCAAAGCAAGGCTGTTCACAGTGGGTCTGCTCAGAAGGGAACCACCTGGGGGCTCTCCCAGTAGGCTCCATTGCTCCATCCCCAGCCTAAAGGCACCCATGATGGAGGGAAAGAAAGGTTCCCAATCCGCAGAGGCACTCAGTGGAAACCCAAACCAGCCCTGGAGCCCTTGCTCAATCCCAGTAGCAAACAAACAGGCTGCCCATAGCTCTTCTGCCTTCATTCCAGCTGTTTCAGCAGCCAAAGGTGTCCTAGGTAAAACTGTGCATAACCAGTATCAGATTGTACATTCTGACATGTCCCCAAGGCCCAGCCTGTGCATCTAACTGACCCCAACCCCTATGTTCAGGCATAGGGCCTGGATTACACTATGCACTCTCCTGCCCAAAACATTTGCACAGCTATGATGTCTCCCCATTTTGTTCACTTTCTTGGGGATGCAATGGAGGCCAAAGACCTCACCTACAAGGAAGCTTGGGCTTCCTGGCCTAGGATCACCTGATATACAATGCTACAATCCTTCACCCAAAGCCCTTCCCAAGAGAAGTCCCACTGCTGGGCCTTACCTGCACCACCTTGTAGAGGAAGGAGAATACCAGCGACACACAAGCATTCTTTTTTGAAGTGGCGACCACTGCATGGTGGCAGAGTCAAGAAGCCTTCTGGGACTGGGATATCACATCCCAGACCCCCATGTCTCCCTGTCCCAGCAGCACTTCATCTGTCCACTGGGCCCAAGATTAGGACTAGCCACCATTAGGGGTTTCGCCCAACTAAGATTACTTCCACCTGACTTAAAACCCAACTGAGGTTTGGTTAACTGAAAGGAAAAAAACAGGGGCTGGAGAGATGGCTCTGTGGTTCAGAGCACTGGTTGCTCTTCTAGAGGACTCAAGTTCAATTCCTAGCATCCAAACAGTAGCTTATTACCGGCTGTAACTCTAGTCCCTGGGGTATCCAATGCCTTCTAGCCTGCATAGGCACTGTGCACAGACATACATGCAGGCAAAATACTTTTACACATAAAATTTTTTTAGAAATGAAAAAGTAAAGGAAAAATGGGTTGCTAAACAGGTAAAGAGTTTAAATACAAATAGTATCCTACAGGCTAGAAAAAGACACTCCCAGAGGCCGTAAGGTTACTGAATGAAAATACAGACCAGAGGTGGGCTACCTGAAGAACACTAGTCCACTGGAGCACAGGACTGACAGGCCTTGCTCTTCTCCCCATTCCCTTAGATTACACCCCTAAAGCTAGCCACCAAGGTCTATTCCCTCATTTGACCACTTCCTCCTCCTGCCGCTGACTACCAAGGTCCATCAATCAGAAGCCCCCTTTGGTTCATGAATTAACATGCCCAATTAAAATTAAACACCTCGTCCTAACATGGGGATTTTCCCCTTACCTTTACAAACCACATTTGCCTATGGACCAGATCTGTCTCCCCTCTCCCTTGTTCCTTCCCCCCGGCTCCCTGTCTCCTTTACACAGCATGAGTCCATTCCATCACAGACCTCCCTTCTTCTTCCTCTTCACCGTAGCACTGAAAGCCCATTTGCTGCTGTTGTTCTGCCTGAGTCAGAAAGCAGCCACTTTAACTTTTCTCCCCGCCCAATAAAGGATCTCTGTGAAAACGGGTGTTTGGGTGTGGTCTGGGAGGAAGCCCTCACTGTGTGGGTGTCTCCTTCATACCTCCCTGTGATTTGTTGGCCAGGGAGTTGCTGACACTGCTGTTGGCTGTACGGCAGAACTACCCATTGCAGAAGACACGGCACACTCTGCAGGACGTGGAGAAATGAAGTCGGAACTGAACTGGAAAACTCCTACCCTGCTGGGTGGTTTTTACAGTGCAGAGAGACCAGCAGAGGGAGCTGCCTAGAACAAGTTTAGACCAGAGTCACTTGGGAGGGACACTCTCCAACCAGCTGAGCTGCTGCAGGCTGTGCAGTGCGCTCCAGGCTCTCAGCTTTCTTGAGTTGTCACCACGCTGGAGTGGGCTTCAGTGACCCCTCACCCATAATCCTATAAGTAACTGCAGTAAAACTCACCAGCTGGACTTTGGTGGTTCCCATACTCTGGTCTGTCTCGAGCTCCCTATGTAATGTCTCCCCAGCAAAAGTTCTGTCACACAGCACCTTCCTAGCCTTGCAGACTGACTTGTCAATCACACTTTTTACAGAAACCTCCAGGTCTCCCCAGCGGAGGCTGCCAGATTCACAACGACTGCACTGGCACAACCTGCCCACTAGCCCTCAGGAGCTTCCCGCTTCCCTTTCCTGTTAGCCTGAGCTACCAGGGGAGGCTGTGACCAGTCCCCCAGTTCCCGTTTATGCCATCCTCATGCCTCATCTGTGTGCTGGGCAGGAAGGCCTGGAAAGGAGGGAGAAGGCCATGTCTACTTGAGCCTTGCCCCAATTATAGAACAGGGTCCAGGCACAAGCTGGAAACTCATAGGACACGGAAGAGGGCGGGGCAGTGGTGGAGCATGCCCTCCTATGCCCTTGCTGCCATACTACGGCACTATGGTGGCAGGGACTTGTCTGCTGGTCCAACTAGGCTCAGACTACAAGCACCTCAGCTATTCCTGCAGCCAGACAGCCATAGCCTAGAGTGTGCTTCAAGAGATAGCCATCCTTCTCTTGGGGGTCCCAGGCTACCTATATCCTCTCCAGAGCTATCCTCAGGGCTTCTAGAGATGGGGATATTTCTGGGACCCAACCTGAAGTGGGGGCACCTATCACCACAGCTAACCTGTGGCTCCAGGAGCATGCCTGGGTGGGAAGGTGGGGCGGAACTACAAGGCTAGAGCATGTGTCCATAGAAGAGGCAGCGTCTGCACCTGTTGGAGGCACACACACATTTACTTACTGCAGAGCTGGTACCCTCCACTGCTTACTGAACAGTCAAAGCCCCAAGTGGTGGGTACACCCACGGTGGGTTTCCAGCTGGTAGCATGTTTGGTTTGTGGCTGAAGAGGGGCTGGGGATGCAGGGCACATGAGAATTCCCCACCCCTACTCCTACCACATTTCCCTCATTATCCACTCCTGCCTCTGACAATCTGGCCTCCCTATCCAAAGACCTACCCTGTTTAACATGACATGCTTTCAAAGCCAACCTTGGGCCCAGCCGGCCCCCACTCTGGCCACATGTCCCTCGCTCCCAGGCTGCAGCTTTTGGAATATACTTAGCATTCTCTGAACCGTGTGCCCTCTGGCTGCCCAGCTGTCCTGAGCCAGTGGGCATGTCACCCCAAGCCCCCGCTCCACAGCACAGGGATACGGTAGAGGTTGTTGTGCTTGATCCACATGAAGCGCACGCCGCCATGGGCCAAGATGGGTGACAGCATGCCCTCCTCCTCCTTTTCCATCAGGATGGGCATGAAGTGCTCCACCTCCGACATGTCCACATCCCCACGGTAGTTCCGGCAGATGAGCACCTGCAAGAGGAAGAAAAGGGGGTGGGACCCCTCTGTGAAGGGACAGGACTTCAGGCCAGGTTGACTTAAATCCTAGGCAAGTCCCACCACAAAGCTCTCCTGCCGTCAGAGGGCAGAGGAGGGGCGGGGCTGAATCCCTCAGACACCAGGGCGAGTTCCACTCCATGTAGACCTGCTGGCACACTCGGCTCTCCTGACAGCTTCAGGCACCCGATCCCTGACAAGTCCAAGTTCATGGAACCCCACTGAGGCCTGCACAAGTGTGGCCCTGTCCTGGTCTTCCTCCTTACACAGAGCATCTGAACCACTGCCTATCACAAAGGACTGTGGAATGGGGATAGCCACACTGCAAAGTTAGTGTTTCCTCAGCAAGTGACACCAGAGTTAAACACGACCCGGTGGCTCTTCCTGGTGACATCTTCGGTAGAGAAGAAGCTATGTGTGTCAGTGGACACTCAAAGGTGAAAGGAACTGGGCCCGATGAGCCCAGGCTAGTTTCAAATCCACCATGTAGCCAATGATAACCCTGATCCTCTTACCTCCTGAGTGCTGGGAGGAAGGCATGAGCTATCACCTCATGTCACATATATGAGCACTTCAGTGGACCACAGACAGGGACATGTCTTTCAACAGATGCACAGGGCCTCTGGGTCCACACCATCCCAAGGCTCTCCACTGCTAGGTTCCAGGATCTGAGGGCCCTCCAAACTCTACACAGTGCCTTGGTGTCTGCAGAAAGCCTGCTCAGAACTCACTTTGATGACAAGAAAGACACCTGTAGCTTTTGTTAAAATGATTTCACTATGTAGCCCAGGCTAGCCTCAAACTCATGGCAATCCTGAGAACTGGGATTATAGGCATGAAACACCAAAATGCAACCCTCCCCCATGTGTGTTACATGAGTCTGAGTGTGGAGGCCAGGGGATGACATGGGGTATTTTCCTCAACCTTACATATTGAGCAGAGCCTCTCTTTTGAGCTCAGAGTTTGCCACCTCAGCTAGTCAACATGCTCCTGGGATCCTGGGGCATCATAGTTTCCTGGCATTGATGTGGGTTCTGGGGATCTAAACTCAGACCATTATAGTTATACAGCAAGCACTTTCCCTGTTGAAAATACTCTCCCGAGCATAGTGACACACACTTCTAATCCTAGTGGTTGGTGGGTAGAGGCAGATGGATCCCTGTGAGTTTACATACCAAGTTTCAGACAAGACAGAGTGAGACCCTGTATTTAAAAATTCCCAGGGTTGCCTGGTGGTGGTGGTGCATGAGCTGGGCTGTGGTGGTCCATGCCTTTAACCCCAGCACTTGGGAGGTAGAGGCAGGCAGATATCTGAGTTTGAGACCAGCCTGGTCTACAAAGTGAGTTCCAGAATAGCCAAGGGTACACAGAGAAACCCTGTCTCAAAAACAAAACAAAACAACCCCCCAAAAAAACCAGCAATGGCTGGAGAGATGGCTCATCGGTTAAGAGCTCTGGCTGCTCTTCCAGAGGACCCAGGTTCAATTCCTAGCTCACAGCTCTCTGTAACTCCAGTTCCAGGGGATCTGGCATCCTTACACATACATGCAGGCAAACACCAATGCACATTAAAAAAAACAACAATAAAAATCCCTGGGTTGCCAAGTGTGGTGGTGCACGCCTTTATTCCCAGCACTTGGGAGGCAGAAGCAGGTGGATCTGTGAGTTCAAGGCCAGCCTGGTCTACAGAGTGAGTTTCAGAACAGCCAAGGCTGCAGAGAAACCCTGTCTCAAGAAACAAACAAACAAATCCCAGGGGTTGGGAAAATGGTTCACTGCTTAAGTTCATTGCTGTTCAGAGGCCCAGGTTCAGTTCCCAGCATCCACTTTAGGTAACTCACAATTGCTTCTAACTCCAGCGCCAGGGGGTCTAATTTCTTCTGACTTCCACAAGCACCTGCACTCTCGTGCTACCCAATCTCTCTTACACACACACACACACACACACACACACACACACACACGCAATCTTTTAAAAATCATTTTATCCCATCCAGGGCTAGCTGAGCGCAGACAAAGACATGAATGCAGGGCATGGGACTCTAGATGCTGGGCACAAGGAGGTTCAGGGTAGGCTCTGCCCTCAGAGTCACTGTGCATTGTAAAAGACAACGGACAGAGGTGTACCCTGAAGGACCCTGAGGAAATGGGAGGGCCTCGTGGAAACTGTGGGTGAGGGCTGAGGATGGCCCTGGTTACACAGGGTGACAGTGCCCATCTTGTCGCACTGCCTGCTGCAGCGCTCCTGAGCGGTCATGATGTACAGGCACCAGCTGCCTCAGAACCTGTCATTTCAGAAAACATTCCGTCTCTGTTGCTTCCAGTTGGGACAGTGCAGCAAAAGTGGTTCCTTCCTTCCTTTCCTAAGCCCTTGGGTCTTGTAGTAGGGGACATGGCACTCACTGGGTAAGCATCTGGGTCTGACGCCCTGGCTAAGGGACTTCCCTTTGCCCACTCCTAGTCCTCTTGCTATCTCCTATATGATAGACTACAGTGCCCAGAGAGGTGGAGTGGCCTGCCTGAGGTAACACAGCAGGCAGAGCAGGGCCAGGATCTTAGTGACACCCTCACTCCCACTTGCTGTGTGGCTGCCTGTGCTCACTGGAAACTGCTGTCCTAGGCAGCTCGAAGGTCACTTTCTTTCCCAGGTGTCCAGGGACTAGACTAGATTGGTCAAAGAGTCAGTCAGGAGTACCTGACAGGCCACCTCACCAGGGCTGTCCAGGAGTTTGTTTGCTTGTTGAGCAAATGTGTACTACCACGGTGGTCAAGGCAGATGTGGTTCCTGACTGTCACTGCTGCCTGGGACAGACAATGGGGGAGACTTTCCCAATAGCCCCACCTTCATCAAGGCTTGATGGGATGGGAAGTGGTGTTAGGAGAGCCCTGGGGATTCAGGTGGTGTGGCACGGAGGAAGACAGGTGAGACACTGGGGCCACAGCTCCTCTCTGCATCCTCTCACTCCATGGTCCTTCCCCATGAAGAAGCTAGACAGGGCAGCCTCTCTCTCATCAGGAAGCTCGGAGTAGTAGCCTATCCCCAGGAGAAGGGTGATTCTCACATCCCTACGATTTGCTCCTTAAGTAAACAGGAGTAACCTGTGGTCTCCAGGATGCCCTATGGCTCCATAGCAGCTGCATCCTGGACATTTTCCAGGCACACCACACGCTGTCTTTCCCATGGCTCCTTTTTCCTCAGGAACAGATAAACACGCATGTGATGCAGCGGGCAGCATGGGCCAGAAGATGAAGTGTGGCCAGAGTGGGGAAAGCCGGAATATGATCTCAGCCAGAGCAAGCAGGAGAGGCTTCCTGGAGGAAGCACTGTCTGAACTGAAGACAGGCCCATAGCTCTCCACAGGAACAAGTTACAAAGGCTCCGAGGCAGAAGCAGACAGACTGTCCAGGGACCTGTCAGGTTCTCCACTGGCTGAAGTGGGATGAGCCAGGACCACTGGGCTGGGGGACTACAAAATCTCAGACTACACAGGTCCTTGTGAATAACAGGGAACAGCCTGGGGCTTTGTTTCCAGTGTCCAGAAGAAGAGCATCAGGAAGAAGGAGGGGAAACCATAGAGCTCAGCGTTCCAGACCAGGGCCAGGCTGCAAAGCAGAGAAGCTATGGCGTAGCTGGAGAAACAACAGACAGCAGCCAAACATTCTTGAAGGACCTCCTACTTGCCAAAGGTGGCCACAAGAGATCCCTTGATAATCAGAGACTCAGCCTGGCACATTGTCATGAGACGGTCTTCATTTTGAAAGGAGGCAGGGAGGCTTATAGCCTCCTTGGGGAGCTTTCCAAAGTCAGGTCTGCTCACACCCCATCCTGGGGCCTCCTCCCATTGGAGCCCTAGTGTGGTACCACTAGTCTGTGGGCTGCCTTATACCCTACATGCCAACTGGGACACCTGTCACCTCCTCAGAACTAGCTCTGCCTGGAAGTCTTTTGTAATTTCTCTGACTGCCAAACAGAAGGTAAGCAACCCTTTGGCTGCTGGTCTGTCTCCTGCTAAGCCTAAATACCACACTCTATAAGCCTGTGCAGGGTCAGGCCTGAATCACACCTATAGTAACCTAGATAAGACTCTTTGGATCAGCCAGGAAGACAAAGCTCAGAGAGGCCATGGGTTTGTCTACGGTCACACACTTCAGCTGCAGAGATGGACAGAGTCCATACACGAGTCTAGCTTTACAGCTTCAGCCTGCTACGTGTCAATGAGGTGTTAGTTAAAGGAACAAGCAAGCCATGCCAGGCAGCCCACTGTACCTCTAGGACAGGGCAGAAGGCAGAGCATGTGCCATACAGCCTAGGGAATGCTGTGCCTCCCCAGGTTCCCAGAAGGCTGTGGAGGCAGTCCAGATCTGGGACTTCTGGGACTCCAGTTGTTGACCTTGGGTGGCATCCAAGGCAGGCACACACTCAAGAGCTAAGGAAAACGCTGGGGCTGGGGCACTCCACCTCTTTACTTCTGAACACCTCAGCTCTAGGCTGGACACCAATGTTCTCTCACCGATGAATGCTGAATGTGTCTACTGTGGCTGGACCTGTTCTGGTAGCTTCCAAACCTAAGAGGCTGGTCACCTGCTTTCGACCTTGGCGGACCGATGGACAGTGATGGCCCATTTCTGAAGGTTGAACATACATTTCTGTGAGAGGCTTTTGCACTGGGCACACTGTGGTCCCTGGCAGAGCACTCGTTGAAGCGACGCGAGGCACTGGGTTATGTCCTCAGTGTCACAAAACCATAAATGAGCCATACCCAGATCCCATGCAAAACAGCCAGGTGCATGACACCTTCAATTCCTGAGGCAGAGGCAAGCCTATCTGAGGCGAATGCCAGCCTGATCTACAGTGTGCTCAGGACAGCCTGGGCTACACAAAGAAACTTGTCTTATAAAACCAAGAGGTGGGGGTTAGCCAGGTGCGTCTGGGAAGTACAGACAGGCAGATCCATGTGGCTTAAAGGCCAGGCAAGTCCTGCTGAATTGGTCTATCGACTGGGTTTGATAACAAGAGCCCATGGAAGGGTAGTAGGGTCTCCCCCCTCCCCCATGGGCAAACCCGCACAAACACACATGAATGAAGTTTTCTTTCTCAGATTCCCCTCGGGAAGATGGGTCCTGTTTCTGTCCAGGGCCTTAAAGTCTCAGCAGTCTGTTTTTCCCCAGTCAGGAAAGCTCTTTCTGATCCCCACCTGGGGCTGCCAGTCCTTTATGAACACATGGTTCCAACAGTCATTTATTTATCTGTGCTTTTCCAAGTGACTGAGCTTAGCCGTGACGGATTCTTGCCCACCAGGCTTAGCACCCTGCCTAGTTTCTCCGAAAGCATCAGCTGAAAGCAAGGATGCTTGGGATGGGACTTTCAGACGGCTACTTCCCAATAAACAGTGGGGCTGTGGGCGGTCTGTTTCCCCCTTGGTAAAACCGCATTCCTATCACATCACCCATTTCTCTTAACTCAAAGTCACAGGAAGCGCTGCTGCTCTAGGGAGAAAGCGCTGAAGCCTGCACGCTGCGGAGGGAGGGGCCGACCTGAGGACACAGTTCCCGCCACGCCTCCGGCCAAGGGTCGCCCGGTCTGGGGGCGCGGGGTCCTCAGCTTCCGGTCGATGGCAGAGGCCAAATCCAGTAACCGGGCGCACGAGGCGGGAAAGGGGCAAAGCGGACGGTTACCTAGCAACCCCAGCCCACCAAGTAAGCTAGAGATGGGGCGGGACTCGCAAAGACCACCGGCCGTTTCCTAGCAACAGGGCGGACCGGCAAGCGAGGCTGCCCCGCCTGCCTGACGCCCTGGCAGAGCTGGCCGTCCAGTTACCTAGCAACAGGGTGGGTCCCGACAGGGCGAGGGCCCCGCTGTTGCCTGGCAACGGAGAGGGTGGAGAGCCCTTCAGTACCTTGCCTTTCAGGTCCAGTACGTAGACGGCGCTGGCGGACATGGCTGCTTTGGAAGGCCTCGGCAATAGCCGAGGGCGGCGGCAACGGCAGGAACTGCCGGCGTTCAGCAAGGCCCTGCGCGCCCCGCGACACTTCCCCCCACTTCCGGTCCATGAAGCAGCGCGCGGACCGTTATGTCCGGTCTGAGGGGCAAGCAGCGAGTGCGCAGGTGCACAACAAAATAGGTGCAGGCGCAGTACGAACTTTGTGGCAGTATTTTTTTTATCCAAAGCCCAAACAGACCGGAAGTAAGTCTAGCGGGCGGAGCCTCCCTGGTAGGAGGAGCCCGAGCGGGGCAATTGTATCATCACTCCAGTGGCCGGCAGGCTGGAAGGAAGGTGGACGCTTTCACACCCGCTGCTGTGGGAGGTCAGCCTTGCATTCGGATACTAGTCTAGTAAACTAGTATCCGGCCACCAGCTGTGATTCGCTGTAAGGTGGCGACTAAAGGAAGTCAGTCTCTGAAAGGCAATCAAACGTTATCAGCAGTCACCTGCCAGTGTCAACCTGTCAGACTGCTCCACCCTGTCGTGCCCCAGTGAACCCAGGTGACTAGCACGTGTGTTACTCAGCCACTGTGCCTTGTGTAGAGTATGACGATGACCCCATTTCCTTTTAACTCTGTCATTCTTAACTGTCCCTCCCCCGTCGGGAGATCAAACCAGCACCAACCCCCCCCCCCCCCCCCCCCCCCCCCCCCCCCCCCCCCCCCCCCCCCCCCCCCCCCCCCCCCCCCCCCCCCCCCCCCCCCCCCCCCCCCCCCGTGGGTTTCTTCTTTGTGTGTATGTTCCTATACACACCGGGAGGTCAGAGGACAACTTGCAAGGGTCAGTTCTCTCCTTTCAGCACGTGGGTCCCAGAGATCACACTCGGGTCATCAGTTTCGGCAGCAGTCCCCCCAACTCAGGCTTTTATTTATTTATTTATTTATTTATTTATTTATTTATTTATTTATTTAATTTTGGTTTTTCGAGACAGGGTTTCTCTGTGGCTTTGGAGCCTGTCCTGGAACTAGCTCTTGTAGACCAGGCTGGCCTCGAACTCCCAGAGATCCGCTTGCCTCTGCCTCCCGAGTGCTGGGATTAAAGGCGTGCGCCACCACCGCCCGGCTCCCCCTGGTTTTGGAGCCTGTCCTGGAACTAGCTCTTGTAGACCAGGCTGGTCTCGAACTCACAGAGATCCGCCTGCCTCTGCCTCCCAAGTGCTGGGATTAAAGGCGTGCGCCACCACCGCCCGGCTCCACCTCAGGTTTTAAAAAGTAATTTCACGACTGGAGAAGAATTCACTCTTAACCAAGACCTCTTTGTTCCCAACACTCACATACTGCCTGGAACTCCAGTTCCAGGTGATCTGATGCCTCTGTGAACACCTGCACTCTACACATGCCTGAACATGGACACACAATTTTAAATAAGTTGTTTTTTAAGTAATGTTTTAGTGAGGCATGGTAGCGTGTACCTTCAATCCCAGCACTTGGAAGGCAGAGGTAGGCAGATCTCTGTGTCCCAGACCAGTCAGAGTTACATATAGTAAGACAAAGTTTAAATTTTTTTTTTTAAATTTAGTTGCTGGTGGTGGCACACACCTTTTATCCCAGCACTTGGGAGGCAGAGGCTGAAGGATCTCTGTAAGTCCGAGACCAGCCTGGTTCTACAGAACAAGTTCCAGGACAGGCTCCAAAGCTACACAGAAAAACTGTCTCAAGAAATCAAAACGAAAAAAAAAATTAATATGTCCGTTGTCAATTTCATATTTTTACATTCTGATTATTCTAGTTTATTTCCTTATTACTCCCTTATTTTTTAAACATTTATTGTGTGTGAGCACGTGGAGTTCAGAAAACAACGCGTGGAAATCAGTTCTTTCCTTCTACCATGTGGATGCTGGGACTCAAACACAAGTCTTCAGGCTTGGGGGCAAGAGCCTTTATCTGCTGAGCCACCCTGCCAAACTCCTGGTAGGCTGCAGGTTTGCAGCCTGGGCTACAGAACCTAGGAAAAGCCAGCAAAAAGGGGCATGGTGGTGCACACCTTCAATCCTACCACTCTAGAGGTAGAAGCAGGGGAATCTAACAGCCAGATCTAGAGTACTCTAGACCAATCAAGGTTGCATGCACAGTGAGACCGTCAACACCCCCATACATCAAAACAACAAAAATAACTAAATCTCACACCACTAAACTGTCTCATGCACAAAATTCTTCAAGACTGTGTATTTTGTATACTATGTTCAAAGACAGAAAAATTCATATAAAATGACCTCAGCCTATATGCATATGTACAAAAAAGAAAAAGAAATGAAATGTATGCAAATCTGTGACATCACTGCAATATCTCATTACACATCACAGAATCACTGTTGCCCAAATCCAGAAAAATTCCAAATCCAAAATGGTCCTAAACACTTGAGACAAGGCACGTACACCCTATATGCATCTCCCTCAGGCAGGAATACAGGTAGAATAAATGTGTCAACTGGACTATGAGCGTTATATGATTTATCAGTGGGTAAACACACCTACAGCCAAGTCTCACAACCTGAGAGAACCAATCCCCCCAGGATCCACATGTTAGAAGGACAGAGACAATTCTTCAAGCTGTTCTCTACACGTGTGCATACACAACACATTTGTAACACACACACACCATTAAAACAACAGAAGCATCTCATTTCCCCCACGAGCAGTTTCGTGCTGTGCCTTCTTCACAGGGCAGAATGGAAAGGTGTCCCTGTGGTGAACAGCATGCACAGACACACTGACTACACTTCATGGCTGACACTTGCTTTATTCTACATGCCAGCTCCAGGGATTCCTGGTAGCCTTTCAGTATCCATGGTAACAGAAGTTGCTTCTCTCCACAGTGTGTGCACAGGTTCTCCAAGAGGTCCACCTAGACTCTCAGATGACAAAGCTCTACAGAATCTGCACCAGGGCCCCCCCACCACACCAGGTCTGCTGGCACTTTGCCCTGGCATTGTCTGGTATTTGGTATCCTTAAGCCAGGAATGTCAAGCAGGCTTATGACATGTGCCATATGCCTGGAGCCCCAGGTGCCATCATTGAAAACTGGATTGATTAGCAATGTCTGCAATGGCAGCCACCAGGTGGATTGAGGGGCAGAGTATGTGCTGGAGACCTGTGTTCCATCCTTGCTTCAGGTGATTGTTGCTCAATGTAGGCTGTGTGGTCTGATGTCCAGGTGGCCCAAAAGCAGCGGCACTGTGGAAACTTGTGTGGTGGGCCACAGGTAGGAGCTTCCTGTCCTGGCATTATGGTGCAGATGAAGACAGATGCCACAATCAGGGTGGGAAGGGTACCCTCCTTCCATGGGCCTAACCCAGAAAAGACCCGAGCCTGTCAAAGCACAATGTTGCAGTCCAAATAGAAAAGGGTACACCCGGTGAAAGGACAGCCTGACTTTAATCAAGTTTCAGAAAAGTCTGATTTCAGCAGATGTACAGGCAGGTGTAGGGCATTCTAGAAAACACTGAGGTGAGCAAAACAGCCAGCCTGACCTGTCTTTTGCACCGGGGCAAGTTACTTGGTCCAGCTGACTTTAGGAATGTCATAGTGCTCGGTGAGTGTGTCCAGGTGTCGGTTGAAGTCCTGTGAAAGAGAGGCCACATCAGTGTGAACCAGGTAGGCCGTGCCCCCATCTGTGCCCAGCCCGTCTCACACACTCCACCACAGGTCTTGAATCACCCCAAATGAGCCTGGGGAAGCACCACGCCTGAGGGTATGCTCCAACTGTCCAAGCCGCACTGCCCTGGGCTCTGGGCTCCCCCATGGCTCAGGCTCCCCACAGGTGCAGGGCTCACCTCCACTCTCTGCTTATGGGTTTTGGACGCCTTCTTCAGGATTCTTTCCATTTGCTGGAGAGAGAAGAGACTGGGATGAGTCCCCATGCCCAACACAGTCTATAGCTGTCTCTCTCCTACCACCTCACTCAGGAGGGGCCCCTGTTTAGTCTCCCTGCAACCCCAGCATCCTTTATACGCAGATCCTGCCAGAAGTTGGGCACTGGCTTTGTTTTGCCTTGGGCCATGGTGAAACCCTGGGCTGGAAGGAAGGAAACGAAGAAGCAGAGAACATGGAGCAAGAGGCCCTAGGGAGGAGGAGCTGAGGGGACAGGACCCAAATGAATGTTCAGTGTCCCACTTTTCATTTCTGTTACCAAAACAAAATACCCAGGCAAAAAAGTAAACTTGGGGGAGGGTCACAGGCCACCATGGTGGGAAAGGGCCACAAGTCAGGCAAGCGCATAGAGAAATGGATAGGAGCAAGCTTCACGCTCAGTTTTCTCTGCTCTTACAGTTCAAAACTCAAACCCTGGTGCTAAAGAGCTTCAGTTCAGTGGTGAAGAGCACCTGCTCTCTTTCAGAGTCAGCACCAAGATGGCGGCTCGCAATTTTCTCTAAGTCCAGGATCAGGGATCCTCCACCCTTTTCAGTCTCCTCTGGCAGCATGACACTTGTACACATAAACACAGACGTCTCACATCAGAGACTGGTGCTGTGCACAATGGGCAAGGATGGCCGGTCTTCCCATCCCAGTGCAAATCAAGACAGTCCTTCACTGAGACTCCTTCCACCATCCTAGCTTGTGTTAAGATGTCAGTTAGGGAGCTCAGAGAGCCACCAGACCATAGTCAGTCAGCCCACGTCGTCATTCAGTTGTAGATGCTAAACAGTGACTCCATTCAAGTACAGGCTAGACCAGCGAACACGACTGGCGAGGAGAGACAGAGAGCATGGGGCTAGCAAGACAGCAAAGGGGCAGGCTGTGCCAAGTCCCACGGCACAGTGGAGAGACCACACATCTCAGGAACTGTGGCCTGCTGGAGGAGTCAACACATAATCAAAGCCCTTCACTAGATGGAGACGGTGCCCTCCTGGGTTTGCCCGGCACATGGGTATCACATATAACACTGCACCCCACAAGTCCAAATACTTCAGGTTATTTTCAAAAACAGAAAAGAAAGACCTATGCTGGGTGTGGTAGGTATACGGGAAGCCTGAAGCAGGAGGATCAGAGGATCCCATTTCAATCATGAGGACAAGGGCCAGAAAATGGCTTAGAGAGCAAAGGCGCCTGGAGTTCAATCCCTGGGACCTACATGGTGGGAGG